TGTGTTTGCAGCCCCCACTGCCACTAGCAGTCCTAAATGCTGGCAATGAAATGAATAAATGTGTAACGTTTGAGGGTTTATGAGTCTATGCATTTCTATATACAAAGTACAAAATACAACAAAGTACTTGAAACATTCCTCTGGGATTTTGGCCCATATTGACATGATACCATCACACAGGTGCTGCAGATTTGTCAGCTGAATATCCATGATAGGAATATACCACATCCCAAAGGTGCTCAAGAGGATTAACATCTGGTCACTGGAGGTCATTTGAGTTCAGTGAACTCATTGCCACCTACAAGAAACCAGTATGACATGATATGAGCTTTGTGACATGATGTCTTATCCTGCTGGAAGTGGCCATCACAAGATGGGTACACTGTTATCATAAAAGGATGGACATGGTCCAGAACAATAAATGGGTTGAACTAAGGGGCCTAAATTGTGCCAGGAAAACATTTCCTACACCATTAAACCAGCCTCGGAAACCTTAGTTTCCTATTCTTACCTTATTCTTCTGCTGCTGTAGCCCATCTGCTTCAAGGTTCAAAGTTTTGTTCAGTCATAGATGCTCTTCTGCATACATTGAATATAAAAAAGTGATTATCTGAGTTACTGTTGTCTTCCTGTCAGCTCAAAACAGTCTGACCATTCTCCTCTGAGGCATTTTTACCCAGAGAACTCCTGCTCACTGGATATTTTCTCTCTTTTTGGATCAGTCTCTATAAATCCTAGAGATGGTTGTAGCTCAAGTGACCAGCAATTTCTGAAGTACTCGACAATCAGCCCACATTCAAAGTCACCTAAATCACCTTTCTTCTCCATTCTGATGCTCAGTTTAAACCTCAGCAGGTCATCTTGGTTGTCATGTCTACACGCTTAAGTGCACTAAAATACTTCCACGTGACTGGCTGATTGGATATTTGCCTTAAGGAGCAGCAGAGCAGTTGTACCTTATAAGTGGTTCTGAGTGTTTGTGTAAATATATATATATATATATATATATATATATATATGTATGTATGTATGTATCAAGTTGTCATAGTTTTCCTGTTAGTGACAGAAGGAGGGAAATGGCACAGTACTGTATTTTATACTGGATCTTAACTTACATTTTGCATCAATGTCATGATGCAGTTTTTGTAATGGATTTTATGCACTTGGGTACGAATGTTGCATTATTTTTTTCATAATACTCACTCATCTATACACAGCGTAGTTTTTTAAACCCACGGTATTGATATGATACCTTTTACCAAGCACAGAAAAGCAGCACAGACGCAGCAAAAACTTTTAAAACACGCTAACGCGATATTTGGACATCAGAAGATTGTCCCTTGGCGCACACCTTACATAACCCATCAATGCCTTGAAAACTTAACAGGAACAGCTGGAGATCTCGGGTAGATAAACGGCTGTTTGTTGCTTTATGTTAATCCTTCGCTTAACTGTAGACAGGTATGTACATGAAGTTTGCTCTTTTAGATATTTAAGATCGTGGTATGTAGCAGAACATGCCTGTGGCCATGCTATTTTGAGCTAATGGTAGCAGCAAAATGCTAACCGGTGCTAAAACAAAGAGCTAGCATACGCTGTACTGGAACGTTTACAAGTATTTTCTTTGTTGTAATGGTAATAAAAGTATTATTAAAATGTCCGAAAACATGTGACGCGTTTATCTGACTGTTTGGTGGCTTAATAATGGTTTAGCTGCCGTAAAGCTGCTTCTACCTGAGGCCTTCAGCTGTCGGTTTGTTTACTGTGCTGCAGGTGTTCAGCTCTTTAATCAGCTTCGACTGTCCATTTCTCTGCACCTGTCAATATGGTCAACGTGCACAAAGGTGTCCTTGTTGAATGGTAAGGTTGTAACTTTGCCAAGAAATATTTGTAGTTAGCTTCACAGAAATCTGTTTTTAAGTAGCCGAAACTTTAACTTTCTCTTCCTGCAGTGATCCTGCCATGAAACAATTTCTCCTGTACCTGGATGAAACGATGGCCTTGGGAAAGAAATTCATCCTCAAGGATCTTGACGACACGCACGTGTTCATTCTTGCAGAGGTGGTTCAAACACTCCAGGAGAGAGTTGGAGAGTTGATGGACCAGAATTCATTCCCCATCACACAGAAATAAACGCAAACTGTCAGGAGAAGTGCTACTTTTTGGCCATGGACTGCTCATGATCTCTGGATAAATGTTTGCAGTGTTTTAACTGCAGACTACAGTGGATTACTGTGAAAATGCTCAAGGAGTTTAAATACATTTTAATAACAGGTTCCAGAATATGTTTTCTTTTTCTTTGCCTTCTTTAAATTGCAGATCAAAGCTACCGTGTTGGCAGCAGCATTTTTTCCCCCCCTTATTAATAATTGATATGAAAGGAGCAAGGATCCGAAGTTAAATAAATTGACAGCTGCTTGCTGTTTAACAGTGACTTTGAGGGGTTTTTTTTTTCCATATTTGGATTAAAGTTGGTCTAAAAATATTTAAAACTGTCTTCTGAAAATTTTGGGATGTTGTTTCTAATGTAAATCAAAATAATAGAATTGTGTATTGAAGGTCATATAAGCCCTTTTAAAGCATTTTAAATTGAAAATAATTTGAGGGTAAATAGTCTCTTTTATCACTATGTGGCATCTTTATTTTTCTTTCTTTGTAATGTGACTGGATGAAGTAACTAGATTTATTTAGTATCATTAACGCAAGCTAAGTTTCTCTACATTAGTTATACATTGCACCCCGAAACATACAGAAAAACCCCTCTGATTGTGCACAGAGTGGGAAACAGGAAAACTGTTTAAAAAGAACGTTGAGGAACCACTTCTGACTGAGTTTTAGGATTTGTCAAGCCAGCTAACAAAAACAAGCCCGGCTGAGTTCAAGCTGCTTTGTAAGAATTGATTTTGTCTTTTTCTGTTTAATTACATACACACACATACTGAAATACCCAAATTCTTTGCAATGTTATGTTGAAAAGAGTGTAACTGCCTTTCACAGAGGTGACCCCTCCCAATTTTAATGTATTCATTTTATTAACAGTGAGCTTCTTTTTATAGCCATTAATTTTACTAATTAATCCAAAAGCTTGGAGTTTTTCCATTAACCATTTAACAATTTTCCCTTTGGGTTCAGCATCACAGCTTTTTTGTGGGAAAGATATTGCTCACATCAAATGCCTAAAAATCACATCTGTTGCTCTCATAGATTCCATCCAGTTTACCAGTCATGAGGCTCCAAATTATACCAGGAGTGGGGTTTGAACCTACGAGAGGATGCGCTCATTGGAGCTTAAGTCCAACGCCTTAACCACTCGGCCATCCTGGTGCATATAGATAGTGTGCATGCGTGTTCCTTTAGGAAACAGGAAGATTGGTAGGAGAAAGAAACGTATTAATCTTGTTTGTTAGGATCATAGCCATAAATGGAGGACTCTTATAAAGTCCATGGATTTTCATTCACACATATTACATGAGGTATCTACTCTTTACACACTAAGGATCCACACTACCAGGGCTACGGCACACAGCTGTTTTATAAATCATCAAAACCAATACTATCCTAAGATTTATTATATACAAAAATGATCTGTTCCGAAATGTTTTCATGTAATCCTGAAAACAGAAAAACAATCTTCTGCACTATTAACCATCCACAAATGGAAACAACAGACAATACAGGTGATTTTAGCTAAAAAGCCAAGAAAAAATTGTGTGTGGTTTTTTTTTTTCAAACGATGTAATTTACAGCCACAGAGGACAGAAAGCTGCAGTATGTAGAGAAAGAGAAGAGTTAAACCTATAATCAACATGAGTCCTTGTAGATGGCAGCCTCCGGTTTTAAAAGACTTCTATTGGTCTCTAGTGGACAACAGAGGTAACTGCAGGATTGGAGCCAGAATAGTGTAACTGCAGTTGAAAACGACATATTTTTTTGATTTCCCATAGAAAGTGTGTGTCCAGCCACGTGTCAGTCCAAGTGGCAGGATTTAGTAATTCTGGTAATAGTTAAATGTAAGTCATTCACAAATATTAAGTCGCAACATTTCAGTTTGACTAACCTTGGAAGATTACACGAAGACAATGTCCAGATATGCAGACGCACGCATATATCTAGCGTATAAGAAATTTCTTTGCACAAACTGTTGAGTCAAATGCCATTTGTTTTTCACAGCTTCAGGGGGTGCACCGTTCCTAGAAATACTGCAATACCAGGTCGATGCGTGGAGTGGACGGAGCAAGCCCCTATTCCATCTCCCTGCTCCAAAAATCAATTTAATATATGGTCCCCAGGTAGGGGACGTATCAGATATTAAACTGATAAGAACAGATACTACACTTGATCTTAGCCAAAAGGCCGAGAAGCGATACCCACATATGGTACGACAGAAACGACTCATTCTGCTTACTGCAACTCTAACTCATGGTTACAATGAAGAACACAGTCGCCTTCTAACAAATGGTAGAGGACAGGTCGATGTTTTACTGACGTTTTACCTCCGAAACATCACAATATAACTATGGTCGGCATGTTTCAGTTTTTAAACGGCGCCACATATATGACGACACTTTAGTTTCTGAAACGCCGGTCAGCGCATGCCGGTTAATGAGATTCAAAATCACGTGGTCGCCTGCAGTCCAATCAGCGGTCGTTGAGACGGAGCGTCTTCAATTCATTTTTATAACTTTCTTGGCGTTATAATTGTTTTCATAATATGATAATTACATACTGTTAAATTTTTAATGTTTCTCCTCCCGGTAACTGTATTCCTGTTATGTCTGGGCTTTCCCTAATTGCACAAGCCAACGGTTCTACATATAACATGTACAGTAAGACTGAGAGGGGGCGACCTTGGCACAGACCTCTCATTTGTCTTTCATCCCAGCTTTTTTGGGGGTGACTGGGTGGGGGATATTGCTCACAGCAAATTCCTAAAAACTCCTATTGATCATTGTTGCTCCCATAGATACATTTCAGTTTACCAGTCATGAGGCTCCAAATTATACCAGGAGTGGGGTTTGAACCCACGAGAGGCATGCGCTCATTGGAGCTTAAGTCCAACGCCTTAACCACTCGGCCATCCTGATGCATATATATTGTGCATGCGTGTTCCTTTAGGAAACAGGAAGATTGCTAGGAGAAAGAAACGTATTAATCTTGTTTGTTAGGATCATAGCCATAAATGGAGGACTCTTATAAAGTCCATGGATTTTCATTCACACATATTACATGAGGTATCTACTCTTTACACACTAAGGATCCACACTACCAGGGCTACGGCACACAGCTGTTTTATAAATCATCAAAACCAATACTATCCTAAGATTTATTATATACAAAAATGATCTGTTCCAAAATGTTTTCATGTAATCCCGAAAACAGAAAAACAATCTTCTGCACTATTAACCATCCACAAATGGAAACAACAGACAATACAGGTGATTTTAGCTAAAAAGCCAAGAAAAAATTGTGTGTGGTTTTTTTTTCAAACGATGTAATTTACAGCCACAGAGGACAGAAAGCTGCAGTATGTAGAGAAAGAGAAGAGTTAAACCTATAATCAACATGAGTCCTTGTAGATGGCAGCCTCCGGTTTTTAAAGACTTCTATTGGTCTCTAGTGGACAACAGAGGTAACTGCAGGATTGGAGCCAGAATAGTGTAACTGCAGTTCAAAACGACATATTTTTTGATTTCCCATAGAAAGTGTGTGTCCAGCCACGTGTCAGTCCAAGTGGCAGGATTTAGTAATTCTGGTAATAGTTAAATGTAAGTCATTCACAAATATTAAGTCGCAACATTTCAGTCTGACTAACCTTGGAAGATTACACGAAGACAATGTCCAGATATGCAGACGCACGCATATATCTAGCGTATAAGAAATTTCTTTGCACAAACTGTTGAGTCAAATGCCATTTGTTTTTCACAGTTTCAGGGGGTGCACCGTTCCTAGAAATACTGCAATACCAGGTCGATGCGTGGAGTGGACGGAGCAAGCCCCTATTCCATCTCCCTGCTCCAAAAATCAATTTAATATATGGTCCCCGGGTAGGGGACGTATCAGATATTAAACTGATAAGAACAGATTTTTTTTCCTTCTTTTTATTTTCTTTCCACAACAATTCCAACATTTTACCTTTTCCTTTAAAATGATAAGGTTACATTCACTTTTCTCCCAACATTCGTTCATAAAAAAAAAAAAAAAATAAAAAAAAAAAAAATCCTATTTTCATCTTTCCCCATACAAAGTAACATTTTCAAATAACTTATCATATTACTCCTTATCTCCCCCTCCCCACTTTACCCCTTACCCTTTATCTACCACCTCCTTTTGGGTACTTTCAAAAAATAATCTTTCCATCTATCCTTAATCGTATCGATTCCCCATTTTTGTAGTTCGTACCAATATATCCCTTCAAATTCCTTCTCTATAGCCTTAATCGTCCCAATTTCCCCCCATTTAAATCCCCCCGTTATGCAGCCCTGTCTTGCCTTCCATAATTTAAGCTTAATAATTGACAACAACATACAACGTATTTTATGTCTCTCATTTGTTTTGCCCTTAGCCCTAAAAAAAGTGATTTCTTCATACGTCACCATCCCCAACCCTTTGTACTTCCCCTTTACCCCTTCCCATACCTTTTTAGCGTATTCACATCCCCATAGTACATGTTCAATTGTTTCTTCTTCTACACAATTTTCCCTTGGACACTTTTTTTGTTTCCCCAAATTATGTGCATGCATTGTGACCCTCACTGGTAGCCTTTTATGTAAGTGCATCCAGTTAAAGTCCTTTAAAACATTTTTGAAACTCTTGTCCTGTGCAAGTTCCCACACTTCCGGGCTCGCCGTTACCTGATTGTGATTAGCTTTCCATACCAGTTTTTTGTATAAAAGTTTATGATTTAATACTGTATCCACCTCTTTACATTCCGAATGTTTCTTCCCCCATCTAACCATCCTCTGCAAATATTCTGGTCTAGACTCTGCTTTGGGACCTTTATTTTCCCACCCAATCAAAAACCGGTATGGTATCGCTAACCAAAACCATAACAATATTTGGCATTTATGCATATAAGTCTTTTTCAATAATGTACAAACATTTGCATAAAATATTGTATCCAACTTTAAAGGAACGTTCGGTACCCCTTTCCCACCATCTGCAATTTCTTGATACATGTGTACTCTTTTTACATACTCATAACCCCCCCATATGAATTTGAATATCCCCCTCGTTATTTGTGCTCTATAAATCTGAGGCATCGGAAACACATAGGCCAAATGTAATAGTTTCGGCACTACCTCGCTCTTTATGACCAAAACTTTCCCCGATATTGTAAGTTTTCTTGCTTTCCATAGGCCTAAGTTTTTTATCCACCGCATTCATCTTCTCTTTCCAATTACAGAAAGCATCACCTTCCTTATTTCCAAATGAAATTCCTAAAATGTCCATAGGACCTTCACACAAAGTGAATTCACAAATGTTGTCTTTTCTACCCTCCCATATCCCCAAATATTTGTACTTTGTTTTCTCTTTATTTATTTTCGTTCCCGTCGCTTTTTCGTAAGCTTTTAAAATTTCTATCACTTCCCTTAAGCTGTCATCATCTGCCAGATATAATATCGTATCATCTGCATATTGCGATATTTTTAAGCTTTCCCCCCGTGGCATCATTATCCCTTTCACTATTTGGCTCTCCCTTATTGCACAGGCCAAAGGTTCGACATAAAGCACGTAAAGTACGACAGATAATGGACACCCTTGTCTCAAACCTCTTGTTTGGTACACTTTTTCTGTAAGAAAACCATTTAATTTAATTTTTGAGTTTATGCCCTTGTATAAAATTTTTACCCTTTTTATAAAAGCCTCTCCTAACCCCATTTCCTCCATTACCCTCCACAAAAAAATCATGATCTACCCTATCGAACGCCTTTTGCTGATCCAAACTAACACAAATTGCTGCTATATTTCTATCTCTTACATATGTAAGTATATCCCTATGTAATTGTACGTTCCAAGTAATTTGCCTCCCCTGGACCCCACACGTTTGATCCTTCTCCACTATGTGTGACATTACTCCTATGAGTCTATTTGCGAGTATCTTGCTCAAAATCTTGTAGTCCACACATAACATGGTTAGAGGTCTATAATTATCGAGTTGATGTGGATTACCTTTCTTAAATAATATAGAAACCACGCCCATCTTCATACTCTCTGTCATCACCTCTCCCTCCATGATTTCCTTAAAAACCCCCAACAAATGTATCCCCACCACTCCCCAAAACGTCTCATAAAATTCCTTTGTTAGACCATCTATTCCCGGCACTTTATTTGCCTTCATTCCCTTTATCACGTTATATGCCTCATCTATTGTCACTTCTCCTTCTAGCCTATCCCTTTCTTCTCCCGTTAATCTCTTCTTTATTTCTTTAAGAAGAAATCCCCCTTCTCTCCCTCTAATTTTTCTTTCCTGAACAAATCCTCGTAATATTCTTTCACCACTTTTAACATATTTTCCCTCCCCTCGATCATTTTCCCATCCTTCTCTAATTTCGTTATAACCCCTCTTTTATCCCTACTTTTCATTTTTTTAAAAAAGAAAGCTGAACATTTCTCATTTTCCTCGTACTCCTCCTGCTTTATTTTATATATTTCAGCCCTTGCCTTCCTCTCAAGTAATTCTTCTTGCTTCAATTTTAAATTTTCTATTTTCTCGTCCATATTTTTATTTTTTCCCTCGTTTTGTTTTACATAAGTATGTTCTATCTCTTTCTGTAGCGTACAAAATTCTTCTTTTCTTGATTTTGACCTCTCCGTACAGTAATCCACTGTGAATTTTTTAATTTTATTTTTTACATCTTCCCACCAATCTAATTTCTTCATATATAGATTTTTCATCTCTGCCCATAACGGGAAGAGCTCTAGGAATTTTTCCCTATAATCTTTTTCCATAAGTACTTCATTATTTAATTTCCAATATCCCTTTCCAAATTCCGTTCCTTCTATCTCCAATTCCGCCTCTACAGCTTGATGATCCGTGAACAGTGCCGGTATTATTTTCCCTCGCTTTATTTTACACTTTTTGTCTACCAATATATAATCCAATCTACTTTTCACCCCTCTTGTATTCTTCCATGTATACTCTACTCGTTTCCCCTGTAATTTGGCCATTACATCTATCAAACCATATTTTTTTATGAATGTCTTAAAGGGGAGGGAAGATTTTTCCTTCTCCAAAGAACAATTAAAATCCCCTCCCACTATAATATTCTTTCTTGTCATGAAACAGGTATCCATTTTTAAAAAAAGTTCTCTTCTCAACTTTGGATCCACCTGTGCATACACATTTATTATCCGACTTTGCATCCCGCTTTTTTCCACATCTACGACCATCACCCTTCCCTGTATTATCGTATAACTTTCCTTTATCTGTATACTTTTATTTCCACATAACACTCCAACCCCTGTCCCATGTACCCCCCCTATACTCCACGCAGATTCTCCTCCTCTCCATTCCTCCGAAAAAACAGCAACATCCCCTTCATCCTTTAAATGTACTTCTTGCAATAAACAAACATCAAAGTTATAAAATAATAAAAATTCATAAACCATTTGTCTCTTTCGGGCATTTTTAAGCCCCCTTACGTTTAACGTAATTATTCGAATTTTCCCCATATCCCAACAACAAAAAGGAAATACAAAAACAAAACCATGGGGACATATTTAAACTTAAGATCCGGAGACAACAACAAAGAAAATTAAAATTAAAAATACCAACTTTAACTGTCCATATTAACATGTGCCAATAAGTTTTTTATAAAGGAATCTTCTGACTTTTCTTCACTTTCGGCATCCTCTTCTATGTCCCCATCGCTTGTTAAGTCACTTATAGGAGTATGCATACATTCAGTCTGTGTTCCTCTCAGGACGTACCCCTCCTCATTCCCCACCTCCTCAGTCCGCTCCTCTCTGCCCTCCTTACCTTTCATCTTAGTCTCTTCTGAAGAAGCGCCCGAACTCACCTTCCTCCGTCTCTTGGCAGTTTTTCTCCGTGGCTTAGCTACCACTTCCCATATTTGACCGTCCT